AAAAATTCACTATTACAAAATTCATTTTCAATAAAACAAAAAAAGGCTTAAACATGCCAATTAACGGATAATTCCTATTAGAGGATTTTAGTAATTAGGCTTGAGGTCAAAACTTTTCTTGAGATTGCCTTGTTTAAGAATATGAAACGATAGTCTAAAAACATTATGATATTTTAAGCGAGTCGGTGTGCCAATATTTTTGTGTAAGTTAGTTGATATTTAGCTTCTGTTTGATAGTCATTCTTTCAATAGAATAAGTTTTTCAATGATAAATTTTTGAAAAATGTGTGGTTAAAAATTAGGAAAAGATTTTGAATTTACATAAAGAATATTTTATTGTAAGAATGTGTGATTAAAAATGAGTACGAGAGAAAAAGGAATTTTAAAGAATGGTTGCCAAACAAAAGGTTTAATATTTTTTAGTAGAGATAGTTTAATATCGAATGTTAAATTTCATTAGCTTTGCATGGGGTATTTATACAAGAAGATGTGTAAATGAGATTCCAAGAGGGACGAGAAAGTCATCGAGAGTGTTGCTTACGCCGCCCACCCGCCCTTTAGGGGGGCCTTTTGGGCAATTTGCATTATACCACAATATTAGAATTACTGAACATAGAATGGACCAGAAATTGGGGACCAGATTGCAATACTTTTTGACTATTCACACTTGCGTTTTGATTTTCTTCACAGTAATTACGAAGTTCTTACGTCATCAATTGCGTCATGTTTTGGTGCTAGATACATGCCGCGTGTGTATTTGGTCAATGCTCAAGAAAATGGTCCAAATAGAAAATTAGTAGCGTCCTTCAGTGTATGTAACTTTTCTTTTTCTTAATTGGAAAAAGTTACGTGGTTATTTGTCCAAGTACTTGTCCAGTGGGAATTAAAATTAAATTTTTAGTATATTTGGATAAAAATTAATTAAATATATGATTGAAAAGTTGTGAATTTCATAAAATATATAATTAAAATTAATTATTGATTTTAATATATTTAATTTTAATTTTCACTAAAGAGGACTAAATATAGGAACAGCTTGCTTCACACTAACCTCAACTTTATAAGTACAAAGCTAATCTAGTAGGTCATCTTACAAGTTGACCTCGACAGCAATAGATAGGTGATTTGTCTCGAGCAATGACTCGTTCATTTTTCACTTTTTCCAAACATAACATTTACTTTCATTGTAAAAGGGCTTGAGTTATGGAAAATCGATTGAGCTCTCCAAAAAAGTTGGTCATGATGACGACTCGCTTGGACCACGTAACCTAATCGGTGCGCTTATTCTTTTAAATCAAGACAAAAGAGTCCACGACTCTATTTTTTAATTAATAAAGCCAACACAATCAAACCATTTTAACGTTCTCAAAATGGACGTAGGGGAGACGGACTTACAAGACTAGATAAGTTGAATAGGAGATGAACTTAAGTAAAGAATTATGTAATAAAGATAATAATTAGAAAAAACGTATTACTATCTTTTAGTGTGCAACTTTCGGCCAATGTTTGGCATTCATTACTTTACATTATTTTGCATTATTTTTCTAATGTACTCATTTTTAATCATATACTCTTCACTAAAATAATATTACACGTAAATCAAAATTTTTTTTCCTATTTTAATCATACATTCTCCATCAATCACTACTTTATAATACATTTTTTCATATTAATGTGGCTCAAAATGGCCTTAGTCTTTCCAATATAATTTCCTAGTCTATCCCAAGTTTCATGATAAGAAAGACTTGCACCTCTTTGAAAAATCAATTCTTGTCACAAATCAAGAAGAGAGTAAATAGTGCTTAGCTGACTCATACACTGTTTGTGATTCACGGTCAGGATAAATCGATCAAGTTGTGCGTTCATCAGACCTTCAAAATTGGCAGTACAAACAACTCCAGCAGAGAACCAAATTAGAAAAAATAAAGGTAAAAACTTTCGATTAAATTTAAGAAAATTCCAGGCAAGAGTGGTGGGGGTAAGTTTTAATTGATTTTCCAATATTTCTAGAAGATGGGCTTTTCTTGGAATGTACTTTTTCTTCTAGTCTTGGAATTTTAATCAGTGAATATTATTTATTTATTTTGCCTTTTTTCCGCTGGAATTTGTTTCAAATCAATCTCACAGCAAGTGTATCTGGTACATATTTTGATCTTTTATTTTTTAAGGATTTTTGGATTCTTGTTTGTTATTTACAGGGTTACCCTCGTTTGGACTTCTGATTTGTTTTATGTTTGATTGTTGCTTTTTCACCAAACCAACCTTACAATCTGCAATTTTTTTAATCTAAAAATGATGTAATAAAAGGGTGTGTACTTCAGTACCGTTTGTTATACTCAAAGCTCAAAATCCATAATTTTCTTATCCGTTTCAGAAGTTTATTTACGTCTGTTCATCTATTGAAATTTTGCCGATTATTGATCCAGTTTCAAAGGTAATTTTGCTTATTTTTGTTGCTTATGATTGTATTTCCTTTAGATTACATGTTTGTAGAAATAATCTTTGTCTGAACCTAGAACTTGTGTTGAATCTTAATCTTCTGTTGTTCATATATTGTTTTGGAAGAAGCTGATTGCCTATTTCTCTGTGGTGTACGGCTTATAATTGACTCTGTTCTGCCGAAATGGAAATCGAAATATTCTAAATTTAAACAGAATTGTGACACGTGCTATGATATTATAGTGATTATCAGAAAATGGAAAGTTCGCTTAGATTTTTGAATCCCTCTTAAGCCACGGAGATTTAGATAATTGTTCGAGGTTTTTACTTTTTAGTATAGCATGTATATTTTTTTAGTTCATAGTTACGGTCGTGATCCTCGGAAGTATATGGTGGAGAACCCCTTCCGGCCACCCTCTTGTTGGACTTTGGGGAACGTAATACTATTGAACACTTTCCTCTTGATTGCAGATCGACCTATTTTTTAAAGTTGAGAACCTGTAGTTGTGCTAGTCGAAAAGTTGGGGTGTTGTTCCATTTTCTATGCAGAAAAATAAGAGAATGATCTGTTTTACTAGTATTCATATTTAAATGCAACCTCATGGGCAAAAAGATAATCGCTATTCGGGGTTTCAGATTAACGAGTAGATATCCCCTTGATCATAAAGCTCCCATTTGGTAGTATATTTTCGCCCCAAAAAATCAAATTTTGACTGTTATTTCACTATTCGCCGTTATTTTTGACTTCTTCACTTGTCGGTGGTATCCACCTTTCTCTCTAACGGTCAAAAAATTAATTCTCAGAATCACTACCGAATAAGCCCTAAGTATTCTTTCAGGACAATAATAAAGACTGGTTAATGCATGCATAGGAAATTTCATGTTTTGTTAAATCACACGCGTGCACTAATTTTTAGTTTATTTTACTTCAATTTTGATTCTTCTTTCTGATGACTACAGGAATTCAACTACGCCTGCTATATATCACATATCTTGGTTTATTTCTGTTCAGAAGTATAAGAGTAAATATCTGATCCGAGACGGGATAAATCATTGAATGATACGATAACTTTCTTTTCCCTGACAATTAAAAGTGAACCATGTCTTTAGTCAGACCTGCTGCATTGTTTGGAAATCATGAACGTCATTCACTGTGTGAAGGCAATGATTCCTCTGGCTTATCAACATCTGTATTTAACTCGGACAATCAAGGTATAGTTTATACCACTGAATCTTGCAGAAGTGAGAGTTTTGATCAGAAGTACTTCTTCGACTCCCCATCAGAAGAACTTGTACACACATCTGACTCCGATGTCCTGAAAAATGCATTTCACCGGTCACATTCCTCCTCTTTTGTGGTGTCGTATGATTTTGATTACGAATCAGAATATATAAATGGCCAAAGTCCGGATGCTGTAGAATATGATGAAGATAAGATAAAGTTGAAACTTCAAGAACTTGAGACAGTGCTTCTTGATGATAATGCTACCAACGTTGATGATGCTGCTGCTTTTGGTACTGATCATAATATGGAAATAGATGGTGAATGGTCCGACCAGATCCTTAATGGGTTGCTTCATGAATCGCCTAAGGAATCTTCATCATCAGTTTCGAATCCTAGTAGCATCAGCAGCAGTAAGGAAATATCAATTACCAATTTGCAAACTCCAAAGCGCTTGCTTTTTGAATGTGCTGCTGCAATCCGAGTTGGGAATTTTGAGGAAGCGTCATTGATGATCAGTTATCTCAGGCAGAAGGTCTCTATCCAGGGAGATCCGTCTGAAAGGATCGCAGCCTATATGGTAGAAGCACTGACAGCCCGGATGGCTACCTCTGGGAAGGGTCTTTATAAAGCTCTAAAATGCAAAGAACCCCCATCTTCTCTTCGACTTTCTGCAATGCAAGTCCTCTTTGAGGGTTGCCCGTGCTTCAGATTTGGATTCACAGCAGCAAATGGTGCCATTTTAGAGGCATTTAAAGATGAAACTAGAGTGCATATCGTAGATTTTGACATTAACCAAGGAAGTCAGTATTACACGCTGCTGCAAACAATGGCTAAAATTCCTGGTAATCGACCTCTCGTGAGATTAACTGGAGTGGATGACCCTGAATCAGTTCAACGTTCTGTGGGAGGCCTAAAAGTCATTGGGCAACGACTTGAGCAACTTGCTGAAGATCTTCAGCTTTCATTTGAATTTCAAGCTGTGGCTGCTGAAACTGCTTTAGTTTCTCCATCAATGCTCAATTGTCAACCCGGAGAAGCTCTAATCGTGAACTTTGCATTCCAGCTCCACCACATGCCAGACGAGAGCGTATCGACAGTAAACCTACGGGATCAGCTTCTCCGTATGGTCAAAGGCTTGAACCCAAAACTAGTTACCGTTGTTGAACAAGATGTGAATACGAATACAGCCCCATTCTTACCAAGATTTGCTGAAGCCTACAATTACTACTTTGCTGTGTTTGAATCTCTTGATGCAACTCTCCCACGGAATAGTCAAGACCGAATGAACGTAGAGAAACATTGTCTGGCACGTGACATCGTTAACATTGTTGCATGTGAGGGGGAGGAAAGAATAGAACGGTACGAGGTTGCTGGAAAATGGAGGGCAAGGATGAGAATGGCTGGTTTCAATCCTTGTCCAATTAGTCAAAATGTGAGCACTGAAATTCGAAAGGTCATAAAGCAGTATTCGAACAGATTCAAGGTGAAAGAGGAGACGGGGGCCCTCCATTTCGGATGGGAAGACAAAATCTTGATAGTCACTTCTGCATGGAGGTAAAACACTCATAATTTGGTCGAAGGAAGAAAAAGTTTTGGTGCAGTTGCACTTGCTTTTTAGTCGCATGTGACTTTTTGACCCTGTTTTTTTGGATAATTTGATACATAATAGAGGTAATGTATGATCAAAGCAGTTGATGAAAACTTCCAACTTTTGTGCTACTGTAGGTCCTTAACAGTATTTAGATGTGTAATTGTAGACTTCTATGCGCCACCTCTTGTTCGAAATTTACTTAAAGATCTACCATTGGTTATCCATTTGAGTTTTCATTCTCAATTATTCAGCAAGAGCTTCTTTTGCATTTGAAAATAGCTAGTGGCAAGATCGAGCTTGGTAAATAGTCTTCTGTTATATCTTCGCCATGATTTTGAGCCCGACATGAAGTTTTACATTGGCTGCGCATGGTAAACACAACAATTCTTTGGGAAGATGTTAAGAGTCTTTTTGTGTCATCCTTCACGAGGGAAATGAATCTTGAGTTTCTTGTAAATGAAATACGAATGAATGAAACTACAGGGGCATAATTTGAGTATCAAACGACAAACAAAAACAGAAAATAGGAACATAAGAGATTAAGACATGATAATCTAGTACATACTAAGATTCCCAGAGAATTTCTCAATTTACAGGGTCACTTCCTTGTTGAAAATCCAGCTGAATTTCACGCTTTGTGCCTTCATCTTCTTGGCTCGATCATCGGCTCGCTCTTGCAACTTCCTGATCCTCGACGGCAGCCCACACACGAAGTCCTGTGCACATCTCCCTTCACCTCTTAAACCCTCCAACTTCTCTAATCTCCACCGTCCAATCAAGAACTCCAGAATGTCAGCATAATCATCGGCTGTGTATACCCCGAGTCTCTGTGCCAGAGTCGAAAAATGCTCGAAGAGATGTTCGTCGTGCCCATCGTACATCAAATGGGCAGGCATTGTGATTTTCTTTCTCATCATGTCTCCAATGGCGATCATTGTTTCGTTTGTGTCAACCTCGAGCAACTTTTCGACGATCTTGATGTATGCATTCTCATGACGTTTTTCGTCTGCTGCGATGGTCCCACATATGCGCGCAAGTACTGGATCCCCGCCTTCCTTGGCTAGCCGTGCCGTGTTACCATGAGACACGAATGTGGCCCGTTCTTGAAATGATGTGTACACGAAGCCTAAATAAGGGTTATTTTCTGTCCCTGGATTCTGTAAATCCCATGAATGAACTTGTCAAATTCTATCAATTAGGGACCAATGCAGTTTCAAAATGAAAATTTGGGGACTTGACCAGAAAAAAAAGTAGTGATCAGGTTAATTTCACCAATGCCTATTAAACTTTGTACTTAATCACTTTCACCACTAGACTTTAATCTATTTTAGACTCATCACTAAACTTTAAAAAAATTTCATTAAGACCATGATATCGATTCAGTTTCACTTCAATTTTTTACTGAACAATCTAATTTGTCCGTCTGCCAACTCGTACGTATTGACAGGAAATCCTAATGGTTTGATTACTCGACTCGCCAATCAAGGCCCATAATCAAGAAATATTGTTTTATTTTTATAAATTAACACTAAAATATAGATTGAAGCCTCTATGTGGTACCGCTAAAAAAATGATTAAAATCCAAATCCAAATCAAAATTAATAATTAATTTTAATCACATATTCTATGAGATCTACAAATTTTAAAATTTTTAGCAAATTTTGATAAAAGTTAATGAAATGTCGCGGATCCTATTAATATGTGGTTGACACTAATTAGTTACTTTGACTTATATTTGAAAAAGAAAATATTGAATTGTTAATAAAAATTACCATTCCAGCTCCAATCAAGTACTGCACAGTCCTCTCAATCATGGACATATCAACCCGACCCGAAAGATACAGATAGGTTCTAAGCAAATCACCATGCCGGTTCTCCTCAGCGGTCCAGGCCCGAGTCCACGAGGCCCATGGGCTTGGGCTGGCCCCACTCTCATCTTTGACCCCATCAAGAGTGTTAATCATGGTCTGATAAGTGGGCAATGCATCTTCTGTGATCATATCACCCACCAAAACAACAAAATACTCGTCGGGAATCTCGGCCGTCCGTTCACGAAGGGCCTTGATTGAATCGGTGAAGTGAGCAAACGGCTGGGATGGGTCCGGGAGGAAGTCATTGGGCTGCCAGCATTGGTTTATGGGCTTGAGGAGAGGGAGGATACACTGAGAAGCCCAAGATTCTAGTGACTTGAAGACCTCCACTTTCTCTGGTGGCATAGAGTGGGTGACCTGTTGGTTGTGGAGTGGTGGTGCGACAGAGGAGATAGGTGGTGGACGGCGGAGAGTGGTGGCGCCGCGGAGGCCACGTGGTGTGCATGCAAGTTGGGTGGTGGTTACGTGTGAGAAATAGAATGCCAAGGTTTGCATGGCTGATGGAGAATGTTTGTTGTGATTGTGAAAGAACTTAGCGACTCTTTAACATTTATTAGGAGACTTTTTTATTGTTTGACCTGCTTCTTAGTCACAATTACAGTTATGCCATTGGGAAATTCATTTGTATCAATGCGCAATTTTATGCGCCCCGTTTGGTTTTAATAAAATGTTAATTAAAGTAGATTCAATTAAAAGTTAATGAATATATAGTTGAAAAGTTTATTAAAGTTGTAGATTCAACAAAATATGTGATTAAAAAATAAGTTTGAGAAAAATGAGAACCAACGAGGGCATAACTTACTAAGCCATGTTTGGTTTTGAAAAATCAAATTTTTAATATATTTTGATACAAGTTAATAAAATGTGGTTAAGAAATGTATAATTAAATTAATTATTAACTTTGACTTAAAATTTAATTAATTTTTTAATTGAATCGAACAAAGGTTCAAAAATTTTACTTATTTGTAATGGGAGCCATACATAAAAAGAAAACATCAAGGGTATTCTCGTCATTTGACACCGGGGCATTTTGGATATCAAGAAAAACTAGGGGTGGATGCAGTGGTTTTTAGAGATACTTTCTGTGGATTGTGGTGGCGACGTGTAAAGATTTAAATTACCCCTCGATAATTGTGTTTTGCAACTAATCCTTTGTATAACACTAGAGAAAACCAGCTGCTAATTGATAATTTTGGTTAATCTTAATGCAACTTTGCTTGAGTTTGTTTTAATTAGACCAACAATAGATGGAAACTTCTGACAGTTGAATTTATCTTCGGATTCATTGACAAGCCGTGCTGGAAATATGTACGTACAATTTGATAGATCATTGGGTACTGTCCAAAAAATGCAGTGTTGACAGCCAATGTTGATACTTGTACAAGGTGATTCACCATGTAAAAATAGCAAATCCTTCATTGACTAACCTATGACATATGAGCAGATTCTCTAAAAAGCCAACCAGCGGGTCCTAATCCAATGAGAATGCCCTAAGAAATGCTATCAACACCGAGGATCATCAAGTGAGGCACGAATTTCTCTAATGGAAATACCTTGTTTTTCACTCAACGAAAGAATTCCGATCCGTTGGATGGAGATTAAAATTCAATTTTTAATAGATTTTGATAAAAGTCAATAAAAATTGGGATTGAAAAGTCATTGGACGCATAAAATATGTGGTTAAGATTAATAGTCAAATTAATTTAGATTTTAATTCCTACCAAACTGTGACTTAATAGAACCAAAAAATCACCTTCATATAAATTATTAAAGTTGTAGATTCAACAAAATATGTGGTTAAAAAATAAGTTTGAGAAAAATGAGAACCAACGAGGGCATAACTTACTAAGCCATGTTCGGTTTTGAAAAATCAAATTTTTAATATATTTTGATATAAGTTAATAAAATGTGGTTAAAAAATGTGTAATTAAATTAATTATTAACTTTGACTTAACATTTAATTAATTTTTTTAATTGAATCGAACAAAGGTTCAAAAATTTTACTTATTTGTAATGGGAGCCATACATAAAAAGAAAACATCAAGGGTATTCTCGTCATTTGACATCGGGGCATTTTGGATATCAAGAAAAACTAGGGGTGGATGCAGTGGTTTTTAGAGATACTTTCTGTGGATTGTGGTGGCGACGTGTAAAGATTTAAATTATCCCCCGATAATTGTGTTTTGCAACTAATCCTTTGTATAACACTAGAGAAAACCAGCTGCTAATTGATAATTTTGGTTAATCTTAATGCAACTTTGCTTGAGTTTGTTTTAATTAGACCAACAATAGATGGAAACTTCTGACAGTTGAATTTATCTTCGGATTCATTGACAAGCCGTGCTGGAAATATGTACGTACAATTTGATAGATCATTGGGTACTGTCCAAAAAATGCAGTGTTGACAGCCAATGTTGATACTTGTACAAGGTGATTCACCGTGTAAAAATAGCAAATCCTTCATTGACTAACCTATGACATATGAGCAGATTCTCTAAAAAGCCAACCAGCGGGTCCTAATCCAATGAGAATGCCCTAAGAAATGCTATCAACACCGAGGATCATCAAGTGAGGCACGAATTTCTCTAATGGAAATACCTTGTTTTTCACTCAACGAAAGAATTCCGATCCGTTGGATGGAGATTAAAATTCAATTTTTAATAGATTTTGATAAAAGTCAATAAAAATTGGGATTGAAAAGTCATTGGACGCATAAAATATGTGGTTAAGATTAATAGTCAAATTAATTTAGATTTTAATTCCTACCAAACTGTGACTTAATAGAACCAAAAAATCACCTTCATATAACATTAGACAAATAAGACAACATATGAAGACATGACAATTGATGTGAAATTGTATCACATATCTGTATTTATAATAGCAAAACTGACTTCTTCTTGTAGGTGATTATAGTAGAACATTTGTTTGTTATTTAGAAGTTCCAACCGAACTTCGAGGTCAACAGAATCCTTGTTAAGATCTTGAATATTAGTAGAAAGAAAGACAATATACGTAAACAATAACTTGCATGGTGATTCATCATTGATCAATTCTAAGATTTGTCCTATCCAATCCAACAATGGAACAAAGGTAGCACCTAATTCTCATCAATTTCCCCACCAGAGCACAAGCAACAGTTCTGATAATGTATGGTTTGTTCTCGACTATGCAATGTCGATAACATTTGTAATAAAAATCAAACCTGTCAAAAAGGCTATCATTTCTCAGGTAATGGAAAAACATAGTCTAAGGTGACAATACTACTCAAAACAAGGGTAGTATAATTCAGGCCAACTCTTGAAAGTTCCATAGTATGCTACTATACTTGCTTCCAGGTGAATCAAAACTTTATATACACTCTGCGCATAGGATGGTGAAGATCTGAGTAAGCAGATAGACGGTTAATCCCATTAGCCAGCCAACTTGGCATGTCCTCCTCAATTGCTGGCATGGATGAGCAGTTGTTGCAAAACCGGATGAATTCATGTTAGAAGAAAATTAGGAACCTTAAGATGATGTTTTTATTCCTTCCTTTTTCCTCAAATTAGTACACACATGGAAGGGAGTCTTGACAGTATTTGTCCTTTTATTGTCATATGCTTCCATCTTCCCAGAGGGAACCCCTTTTCCTTTTTATATTGTAGTCCAATACCTGTATAACCTATAATTTATCAGGGGGATGGCTTCCAATCGAATTGAAGGTCATTGAAATCATTGGCTGCTCCAAGACCACCAAGCAGCTGGTTCTCCAGGTTCTGCTGTGGCTGATTTGTGCTCTGCCCTTGGGCAACTGTCACGCCTGCTCTTCTATTCATATTCATAGAGTTATTCTCTAGCGTTGCTTGAATCCCATCCACCATACCAGATTGTCCAAGCTCATTGCCCAAGGTTCCGAAGCCTGCACCACCAATATTTAGGTTACCACTGGCCACTCCATTTGCTATAACGCCATTCCTGCCACTCAAACCGCTATTATTGATGGATGATGACAGTCCATTGACATTTTTCACATCATTACTCATCGTCCTCGTGTTCATCATGCTGCCTCCGCCAAGCTGGGAAGACATCATTTCTTGTATAATTTTTTGAACAGAACTTTGTGAATCATTAGCATCTGCATCACCAGAAAGAGCCACTGGCTGCTGCATTGAGATGTTTGGTGAATTCGAGATCACGTGTGCTCCTCCTGATAACCCACCATGTGAAGTTTGTTGCAGTGGATTATTGGATGACGGCAGCTTTTGTGATTGGAAGGCAGGACTAGATTGAGGTTGTGGCATAATATTGGAAGAACCAGGGAATTGAATCGGCACATTATTGCCTTCATAAGGACTGTTTGCTGTATACATTGGATTTTGCTGTCTAGAGTTCATTGAGTTTTGGTGAACAAGGCCAATGTTGGCACCAGCAGGAGTTATTGCCGGGACTGAGTTAAGAGTGTTACTGACTCTCAGCATGCCACCATTGGTAGAAGCAAGCTGCTGCATTGCAGGAGCCTGGACAGAGCCATTATTGTTTGAGTTTTGAACCATTATTTGCTGTTGCTGCTGTAGGTGGCCCCCTGGTTGTTGAGGTTCACCCTGGAAATCATGTGGAGGATTCAGCCGAGGATACTTCAACAAGCTCTCTGGGAAGAAAAATTAACCATGCTCAGAAATTTAAACAGTGTGTATAAAAAAATTTAACACGTGGAACGGTTTCAGATAACAAATTGGAGGACGGTAATCCTCAAACCAGAGAAATTATAAAGATGAATCCACATTTTACAGAGTTGGTTGATCTAGTACATTTTGTAGACTTGGGATGCTCTCCATCCATGAGAAATATTCCCGTGAAGAAGCGTAACAATCATTTTTCCTTTCAGTACTTAATTTTGCAATAATAAATTAAAGAAGTATTTCTATCAGGAGCCAAGTTTTCTTTGTTCTCCTTTTTCAACAAATTTTCACCTCGGGTCCTCAAGAATAGATGCCAACATGGAGACGGGCATTCCAATAACATAGTAATTAACTCGTGCTATTACTTCAAAGATACTTAAAGGCCCAACAAGAGGAAAGGACAATCCACAAAAAGAAGTAAACAAAAAGTGTATGAAACATAAAAGAGGACTACAAATGAGAACTGCTGCGATCCAAAAATTGCTCAATTTCCTAGTTACTCTGCAACCTACAGAAGCTCACACTAATTTCATATTCATTTAACATCGTCATACTGCACACACTGAAAGGAAACAAAATAATGGCCCATTCCCCATGACACACTATCCACATCCTCACTGCCTCAGATAGTATTGCCAACATTCTTGAAACTCAATTTTGCCATGCCATGTGTATCTATACATGTATTGAAGAATATGTACGTTGATCTATGAGTGCCTAAGAATATCTATCTCGTCTAGTAGGGAACAGTTTATCTTCCTTTGTTCTCTGTGTATCCAAGTGAAAAGGCTAATCCAACGGTAGTCTCCTTAGATAATGAAATAAATCTGAGGCAGACTCATTTTTAATATCAACATACACATATATGATATATGTATCCCAATCAAATGTGTAAGCTACATACAAACTTTAAGATCAATATGGAAGTAACTTGAACTTACATATTGCAGTTATTTTGAAGCTCTGAATCAAAGACATCTGACGGCCTATTCTGAGTAGCCGTCTGGTACCTCTGGGCAGCAGCTCCAAGTTGGCTAACCTGCAGTGTACATAGAACAAAGAAAGGCGTGCTTAAGAGGAGCTTAAATGGTACTGTACCACAGGGGAACTTATTTAGATACCAAAAAACAATAGAGTCGAAAACCTCAAGGCTAAAGTAGCACCCTAAAGATAGAAACCAGAAACCAGGCTCATTTTTGACTTAAAAAATTTATAGACCCACGGAAAACAATAAAAAAGTTTCAATACAAAGATGCATCCACAGACCACAGAAACTACCTAGGCCAGTACATCCAAGATTTCAATATCATCACTTCAACCAAACAATCATTTAACTCCTTTTCCAAGTGAGGACACGGGGCTTTAGCAGATAAGGAGGAAATCGATATCCTTTGTCCCTCTTTCACTTCCATTCATGTTCTTCAAACTTGACATAGAAGAAAAGAAAAATCATCTTTAAAGAAGAGGGTAGGGGAGCTAAACATCCTTGCCTGTTATTAGAAAATCACTTATTCACAAACTTCGTGTGGGACTAGTTTTCCTCATTTCCCATCTCAAGTATGTTATGCGAAATGGCTCAAATAATATTATCCGACGATCATAATCTCATTAAAACACAAACTATTACAAAGACATGAGGACATCAATCCTGCAAAAAGCACATCAACAATATGTCGCATGGAATGGACTTCCAATAAGAACTCCCTAGGGGTGGAGTGAATATTGTTTCTCTAACTGACAAATCGAGGACACATTTCACACTGTCAGCCAAGGAATTTATAAATGTCATAACACATGCCTCAACGACCACAACTCAAAAGACAACCACAATATTTGCAGACACAAACACGCTCAAAACAACAACAGAGGTTCAAAGCTCTCAAACCTGAGGTATCAGCAATCTTTTAGGAATAAGCTCTTCATGACGTCGAGCACAGAACTCCCAGGAGCATATCTAATGAAGTGATGAAGCAGAGATAGTTAAACAACAGCAGCTCTATAAATATTAAAGAACTTAAATGGAAAGAATATATTTTGAGTGCAACCTTGAGGTCTGGTGAGAATATGATTCGAAGCTGCCCATCACGAACAACACGAAGTTGCTCAAAGACACTCTCCTGAATGGCTTTTGCGTAATCCAAAACAATTTGCCCAGATGAATTCTGAGACTCCTTTGGCATATCAACATAGAGTAGCTCTTCCATAGTACCGCTTTCGAATTTTATTTTGAACAGTCTGGGCAGAACCTCAGCAGTTGCCTCTGACAAAAAGTATAACAAACTTTAGGTTCTGAAGTAGTTCTTTATTTCTCTTTATTCATTTTTCCGTTTTCCTTTTTAGAGTTTGGGGTTAGTAATTGGTATATACATGTTTCAGGGGACTTCCAAAAATTAAACCACCATCAGAGCTCCTCAATCCATAATCTACATCTATCTACAATCTATAAATAGCATGGATAGGTGAGAATCACTATATTTCCTGTTTTTTCCTTGTATTTTTTTGTTTATGGTCAACAATACCATTATGTAAAAAAAGCCAAATGAAACATTCATTTCCAACATAATTCTATACAAACACAATTACTGTGTCAACATTTTGATGGCTGATTCAATTGGTTTTCACTCTTCAATTAACTTGGCACTTACATATAATATTCGTAATTTGTATCATTAATATATAATAACTATTGATTAGTAAATGTTATCCATCTTGCGAGATTCGAAAGAGTTTTTTGCTAAAACATTTTTAGTTGTTTGCCTATTAAAATGCTGAATTCAGGTTGTCATTATTTGGTCACTAATTTAGTAATAAATATAGCCCATGTTGGAGTTAACAGAAGGAGCCAAAAAGATTTCAAGGTCGTTTTTTCAAGATTTCTGGTAAATCGTTGTTAGTAGATTGTACCCTTCTTTAATGGTTGTTTCATTTGGCTGTTTCACACTTACTGTTTTTAATTCATGCATGGGTGATATCAGTTTTCATTAGTTATTAATATAGATACATGGCAAAAAGTAAAAGCATTATGATACACAAAAATGCGTTTCAGAATAAATTAGGACATTTTCAAATACATTATACCTTAAAATTTAAATTAAAAAAAATACAAATGATAAATGTACAGATTAATTCAGAAAAATAATTATGACTCACCGCAACAGCCAAACCATCGGATAAATGCATGGGAAATATTGAAACATTATTATATATATAACAAAATGTTTCAGGTTGTTTTCAATTACATGACACCTTAAGTAAAAAGTACCGAATGATAGCTGTAAATAATTCTGAAAAATAATTACTAAATCCACCAATGGTGGCAGCATTGTGGATCATCTGAGACCATGCTACTTATATATGGACCGGGCGTCATATGTATCCAAGTGAAGCTGAAAAGCAACATAAGCCACAGCCGACTAATTCAGCTACAAAGAAGAAGACATCTAAGCAGGTATTTGAATGTTCCTAACTTGGTTTTCTACATTGTCACAGTCTGTACATGTTTCGGAGATTTATTATCAAATCTAACTTTTTTATGAGATATTTTTTCTTACTTTTAAGATCAACTTATTGACCAAATTCTCCGTTTTGTAAATTATCAATATCATACATGACTTCATCGACATCTAAATCACTAACAACAATGCAGCAAAGTTCAGCTACAATTCCATAGGTAGAGCCAAATAATTAACTTGATTAGAAATACGTATACTTTTATAGTTAAAAAATAAAAAATATAAATACTTTTATCGTACCATACTTCGTGCAAGACACGTTTATATCACTAGTTATCTTAAAAGGGAACAAAATTGAAGAAAATACACCAAAACAGAGCTATTCATAGCTAGCAAAAGAATTGATAATCAGATCAGATCTTAAAGCACAGAAGAAAGGCATACCATATCCACGACCCGGTTTGCGGTTGCATATTTCACAGTGCCAAACATCCTGCATTAATGCAAAATAATGATAGATCACAAATCCTAGTCAAATATTGTACAGAGAAAGTAATTGTCAATTTTGAGAGCCACTGCAAACTGATAGGCTTAGAAGTAATTAATTTAATGCTAAATTCCATCAGAAAATTAAAAGGCCTCACTGTAATTGTCAAACAATATTGGCATAAACTGGATGGGACATCCTTACAGAATTTAAACATAATTAATGTCTACCATTTAATCCGACCTGATTTAAAACTCCAGTAGTTTGGCGGCAACTTGCATACATTGAAACGCACCATTTTTTCTTGGCATTTGTTGCAAAAAAATCGGCAACAAACTTTCTCCAGAACTCAATGTTATTGTCCTACAAAATATGTCACACAAATGTCATTCATAACCATACCCTCTGTCAAACAAAAAACTCATTCCAAATTTTTGCTTTTCTACACAAGCAAACAAAAATTTTGAAAACAATATCTCACTTCAGGTCTTTGTTGCTGCTGATACATATAATATGTTAGCCGTTGCGCGCCCATCCCAGGCTCATATACTGTCTTTACCGGAGACCTAATAGACAAATTCTGTGGTTGAAACTGTGCTTGTAGCTGAGATTTTTGTTGAGGAATAGTGTTTAAGGCTCGCTGTTGTTGCTGTCGCTGGATTTGCATGTGTCTCCGTTGATGCAAAATCTGTGCAGCTGCAGCAGCCTGAGGGGACTGCCTCGATAGGAGAAGCTGCTGCTGTTGCTTATTTAAAAACGAAGATGATTCTGGTTGTTGGGATTCCATATTGGCAGGCACCAAGCTTCTCATATTCAGTATTTGTTGAGGTTCCAATTTGACAGTACCAAGATTCCTCAAAGCTTGCAACTGCTGTCGTGTTTGATCGTTCATTGCATGCATCTCCGGCTTAACAGGTCCAACACTTCCTAGTCCAGCTTGCGTTGTTTGAAATGGCAGCTGCTGTTGGTTGCCAGGAACAGAAAATTGCAGTAACTGATGCTGATTATTCTGAAAATTTTGAGGATCAAGTTGCTGAGTGTGTAGCTGGTCAGCCAACATTTGGTTGCCAGTAGGGTTTGGGAATTGTTGTTGTTGCCCTTGAACTTGACCGGATGAGTTAGGATCAGTAGTTATGGACACGGACAGATGTGGAGATGTATTAAATCCAGTCACATTTGTTACACCCCCATTTTCGATAAGCCGTCGCTTCCCAAGAACGGATAGTCCAGAACTTGGGCCCCCATTATTAAACGACTGCTGGAGCAAAGATGAAACGTTGGCCGCATTCCCCAACTTGTTGATGTTGTTTAACTGGTTACAAGGTGACACTAAAGAAGGGAATGCATTCTGTGAAGGCATCCCACTCCCTTGACCACTCAACAAATTGGAATTTGTTCTCAACAGTGATGGTGGAACAGGCTGGGATCCACTAAGCGGAGTGGGTGGCCCATGTAGCACCATCCTTTTGCCTAATACTCCAATCTAAATACAGTGTCAGATACAAATTACACTCTTGAACTAACATTAATCTCAACAAACTATAAAAAAGTGTGTGCAACACTAAATTATTGTACAATTTAAGTAACAATTTACACATGACCAACCGAAGTCAGAGTTTTTGAAAAATTATTTTGAACCAAAATATTGCCATAAGCCTCCTGCATGAGAATAAAACACCCCAATTTGCAGAATTGAAGTCTAAAATAAAAAATTTCAACCCAAAGACGTCACCTTTTTCTCTGAACATCCTAAAATCAATCCCTTTTAAAACGAATAGCTTTTAAGTCAAATAAGTCCTTTCCCTTATCTACAACAAAAGTGAAACCGAACAATTTCAACCCCAAAAAGAAGAATAAAAGGAAAATGGAACAAAGAGAATTTTTGAAGAGATAAAACTTGAAGTGAACTTATAATCCAAAAAATTCCAAAACTTGAGCCGAATTGAACTACAAGAATAACCATTAGACTCAATAAAAACCTAAATCATGTAACAAAAACACTCAATTAAAACCCCAAATGAAGCTATATTCCCGGGGGCTTCACCCTATAAAGTACTTACATTCATAAATATATATGGCATGCGCGTATCAAGACGAGTATATATAAAAATTCAAAACTTCAATCTATAAAGAAATAGCGAAATGAAGAGGAAAAACTCACCAGAACAGGATTTGAACAGCAGTCTGTTAAAACCTACAAAATTGAAGTTCAAAAACGCTCGTTAAACTTCTCCATTAACATAAACAAATTGATTCATTCATTCTTCAAAAAAGCATTAAAACATTAAACTGTAGATTCATAAATATTAAATGTGTGTGTGTGTTTCTGTATGTATATGTAGCTGTCAAAAGTCCTCTCAAAATCTTCAGTAACGAGAGAGAGAGAGAGAGATGCTGGGCTGTGCCTTTTTGAGAGAGTGCGTGCGTTTTTATTGCGGACGTCAAAAATGCATTGGATCCGATTTAATTATTTACTCCAAATTAAGTCAAAGGCTTGTTCACTTGGTGTATGATGCCTGCGTTGATCTTGGATTGGATGTTGACTCGAAAAAGTTAAATGATCGGATCGTATAGACGAGATTTTGATTTAAGAAGATTAGTTCTTTAAGTTAGTTTAACGAATTTACGTTTTTGATATTTAATTTATGATTGTGTTGATCTCCTATTTTCTAGGTAAGTCGATCGATCAGATCTAATGTGTACGTCATCAAGAGCATATGATTATCACAAAGGCCACACAACTCATCTTTTGGGATATTTACTAAAATGCCCCCAGATTATTATTGATGTTTGCTAGTTGTTTGTGGGAGAGATAGTCTAAAGACTATAATACCCCTGTGGGAAAGAGATGTTTGGATACCCAACTTTCTATTTTAAGGTTAATTAGCCATTGGATTCCATTCTGATTGCCCTGATAAAAATGTTCTGAGTTTGTACATTTGTATCCGAAGGTTCTTTTAAAAGTTAACGAATAGCATGTCCAAGAATCTCGGTTCACTTTCTAAAAGGTAACATTTAACTTATTTTTACAAAATAAATTTTAAATAAAATCAGATATTGTCGATACTTGCGCCCCAACTACAACCACATTATAGCAAAATAGACTTTGGATCGTGCACATGTGAACAATAATAAACATGTGCATGTTCTGTTGGTTTTCGATCTTGTTATTGCTCTTATGAATAGGAAGCGAAAGCTCAATTCATAACAAAATAGACACACGTGCTCGTTGGCAATGATCACTGTCGTCTGCTTATTTTTGGCCCGTGGTGATCGCAACCGTTCAATTTTCGATTTTGTTGTATTAATTTCTAAAAGTTTCTTCACTTTCACAGCAGCCTTTGGAGGAATGTCTGAACAAAGAAAGGAAGGACAAGCAGTACACAAATTTAGGGTTCTTCAATTGAATTAGAGCAGCTCTCAAATGATTAATACTGGTAGTTTTGCACTATTGGTCCTTGATCTATTGCCAAATATGCATATCAGATCAGAATTTTTGTATTACATTAGTTTATCATGTTGAGTATGACATGTAAAATGGGTCTTAGAATAGCCCCTATCTGGTGTAAGTTAAAATTGATTTTTTTAAATTATGATAAAAGTTGATGATATTTGTGATTGAAAAGTTGCGAATTTCATGAAATACGTAGTTAAAAGTAATTGTTGACTTTGATTTGAGATTTTAATTTAAATCAAATAGGGATATAATATGTGTAACTCTTGAAATATATGTTTCGATAATTATAATTAGAGAATGTTAATTTGCTGGCTAGAAAAATTGTTATTTCATTAAATTTATTTGTTAATGTTAATTTGGGTTTATTTATATGAAATTAAATATTAAATTTAATGTTGCAATCAAATAAAAATCTATTAATTTATCAATTAACTAATAACTTTCTAATTTATCAAGATATTTACTATTTTCTTAAATATTGTACATTGTATTTAGTTTCTCGTTTTACAAAATAACAATTCTATATATTTTTTAAAGGATTAATAGTACAAAACGTCCCTACGTTTGACATTTATTGCGAAAAAAGTCCATACGTTTCATTTTTTTGCATTAGTTAGCACAAAACGTCCTTACCTTTAAGGCTTATTGTGGAAAATATACCCACCTTTCATTTTTTGACATTTTTGTCCTCATTTCCACATTTCTTTTCGAAAAACGTCCTTTTCACTATTTTTTAATGTAAAATGACCAATATATCCCCATTTAAATAAAATCCAAAAATAAAGAAAAGAAAAATAAAGAATAAATTACAATCTTACTCCTAAATGTTTTAAAAAGTGCAAGTGAGTCCAAGTAATTATTAAAATGCCTAATAGCACAAAACGTCCTTACGTTTGGCTTATAATGTGAAAAACGTCCCTACGTTTCAAACTGGTGAAAGGAACGTCTTTTGCAATGAAATGTGGAAATATGGATGAAAACGTAAAAAAAAAATGAAACATAGGGACGTTTTTCACACTATAGGTCAAACGTAAGGACGTTTTGTAGGTCTTATTAAAATATTAAAAATAACAAAACACATACACACACACACACACACACTCTCTCTCTCTCTCTCTCCCTCCCTCCCTTTTCTCTTCTTCTTCAAATGGATCAATCATCGTAGAAGGCAAAAAACTCCAGCAAACCACCACCAAAGAAAAGCCCTCACTTCCCTCTACACATATCACTAGACATTCAACCTTGAAACTTTCATGCTAATAGACTTGTTCGGAATTGCAAGCCAAAATACCCAACTCTTGAATGCAAATACTGATAGCATCACCTATTTTGGAGAGACCCATGCCATTTCGAACACATCAATCGACCATACTCTCTAGGGCGCCTCTCTTCATGGTCTTAAAATATCAACAGATGATTCAACGGTATGGAGGTTCGATGATTTGGATGATGATTGGTCAAAGTTTTCTCACTTGTAACGTGGCAGTCCCATTTGGAGAAGAAGATAAGAGAGAGAGAGTTTTTTTTTTTTTAATATTTTAATAATGCCTAATAGCAAAAAAGTCCATACGTTTGACACTTATTGCAAAAAATGTCCCTACGTTTCAATTTTTTTGCGTTTTCACCCCTATTTCCACGTTTCATTGTAAAAAATGTCCATTTCACCAATTTGAAACGTTGGGACGCTTTTCACACTACAACCCAAATGTAGGGACGTTTTATGATATTATGCTTTTTAATAATTATTTGGACTCACTTGTACTTTTTAATACATTTAGGAGAAAGATTGTAATTTATTATTTATTTTTTTAGGTTTTATTTAAATGAGAGGGTATTTTGGTCATTTTATATTAAAAAATGGTGAAAATGATGTTTTCCGCAAATAAACGTGAAAATAAGGGCAAAAATGTCCAAAAATGAAAGGTGAGGACATTTTCCACAATGAACCTCAAAGGTAGGGACGTTTCGTGCTAATTACCCTTTTCGTTCTTATTTCAACGTTTCATTATTAAAAATGTCATTTTCACCATTTTTGAATGTAAAATGACCAAAATACCCTACTATTTAAATAAAGCAAAAAAAAAAATAAAAAAAAAATTGTAATTTTACTCCTAAATGTTTTAAAAAGTGCAAGTGAGTCCAAATAATTATTAAAAGACTTAATAGCATGAAACATCTCTACATTTGGCATGTAGTGTGCAAAACGTCCCTATGTTTTAAATTGATTAAAATGATGTTTTCCGTAATGAAACATGAAAATAGGGATGAAAATACAAAAAAATTGAAAAGTATGGACGTTTTCTGAAAAAGGTGTCAAAGGTAGGACGTTTTCTGTAAGAAATGTCAAACATATTGATATTTTGTGCTATTAGGCCTTATTAAAATTGAAACCATTGCAAAATCAGTGAACCTCCATACCATTTCCAAAATACTATTACCCAAACTCTAGCGACACCACCTTTTTCGAAGAGATCTATGTCATTTCCAACACGCCAATCGATTATACTCACTAGGATGCTCTCTTCATAGTCTTAAAACATCAACAGATGATTTAACGGTATGGAGGTTTGGCGGTTTGGACGATGGTTGGTCGGAGTTTTTTCAGTTCTAAGGTGGCAATCCCATTTGGAGAAAAAAGATCATGAAGAGAAGTGCTCTGATAAGTATAGTCAATTGGTGTGTTGGAAATGACATGGATCTCTCCGAAATAGGTAATGCCGCCGGAGTTTGGGTAATGGTATTTTGGAAATGGTATGGAGGTTCACCGGTTTGACAATAGTTTCAATTTTAATAAGGCTTAATAGCACAAAACATCCCTACGTTTGACACTTCTTGCGAAAAACGTCCCTATCTTTGACACTTCTTGAAAAAAAGATCTATACGTTTCAATTTTTTTTACATTTTCATCCATATTTTCACGTTTCATTGCGAAAAACGTCATTTTCATCAATTTGAAATGTAGGGACTTTTTACACAAACGCAAGGACGTTTTGTACTATTGGGCATTTTAATAATTATTTGGACTCACTTGCACTTTTTAAAACATTTAGGAGTAAAATTGCAATCTATTCTTTTTTTCTTTTTTTTTTGTTTTATTTAAATAGGAGGGTATTTTGATCATTTTACATTCAAAAATGTTGAAAATGACGTTTTTAGCAATGGAACGTTGAAATAATGACGAAAATGCAAAAAAAAAAAATGAAACGTAGGGACGCTTTCGGCAATAAGTGTCAAACGTATGGACGTTTTGTGTTATTAACCCTTTGTTAAACCATGTAAAATTCATGAATTTGCTTATTTTTTTCCAAAAAATGATCGTACGCTGTTCAATTAACTACATTATTTAGTTTATGAATATTTAACCAAGAAAAAACTATTTAAATAAATTAAAACCATAGTAGATCACACTGATTAGTTTACTTCCAATAAGAAATAAACAATAATTGAGTCATATGAAAGGAAATGCCTCGTAGTCGAATCATAAGTGCCATGTATCGTATGTGTCAGGTTTTTTACTTTTGAAGTATCACTTCAACATAGTTTATCAGAAATTGCTAAATATAAAGACAATATTTGAAGAGAACACATAGAACATTCAGCAAACTGTATTGATGTACAAAACTAGAGGTTTAAATCTTAGTATCCTATATATTGTATATTAGCCAATTCAATAACTCTGAAGGAAATATTGCATGCCACATTAAGATGTGATTTTTCGATTAAACAACTCGAAAAGAATCAGCTATCTTTTTTAAATCCTTATAGTGCCTCTTCCATTGAAGACCTGAAAAACCAAAACAATAAAAAAGTGAGAAAATACTGAAATTCACGGTACCAGTGGTGGATTTAGGATTCCAGGTGAGAACGGACGGCAGGAAAAAAAAATTCGGCGGAGTCAGCACGGGTGGCCACAGGGGCTCTCTGGTTGTTGGCTCCATCCCTACACATTACTAGGCTCGAAGAATAGAACTAGATGTTTACCGTTTGCAGTTACACCGAACAAGTAGAGGCGATTCCCGGCTGCAGTTGCTGTAATTAGAACATGAGGTGGCTCTAACTCGAACTGATAGTACTTTCTTCCCGAGTATTCTGCTACTTCAGAGCTTAATACCTTCCCTTCTACGTTCTCACCAATTACCTCTGGCCCGAATGCATTGATTACTATGTCTGGAGGGCCTATTCGTTCTATTGTGGCATCATCACCAATATCTGTGCGACATAGAGCAATCAAAATTCAAATTTTTCAATAATACGATTGGCTATTACGTATACCAAAAGAGTTGGTGGGGAATCACTCTACAGATAAAGGGACACCAACCACAATCGAAACATAAGCAGGTAGGTGTAGGGAGATACCATCTGCAAATCTTCGAACAGGGGCAACAATTACGAAAAGGCGTCCTTCTTTTGGGCTAGCAAATCTTAAATCAATCTCTGTGCCTCCAAGATCAGCAATTGACACTGGAACCTGTTGAGAACCAGAGGAAGAATGTCTAAAAGGAAAGGGGAAAAAAAAAAAAAAAAAGGCTTTGTAGAGATGGATTTTGAGGGTCTTTAGATTGTGTGGAGCCTAATTATTCTTATTTCTGACCATTTATAAAGGATTTTTAGGGGGTCTATTTTCTTTGAAATCACTTATATAGCTTCTACTCTGACGATGCTTACCTCTTCCCAGTCTTGAGGAACTGAGAAGGCATATGGGATGATAGGACTCCACCCAACGCCATGGCCTCCCGACTTCTCATCCGGTCTTTGATATGTCCTCCAACCTGTCTGAGCATTTTTTCTCTATTGAAGATGAACACTCATTGAGAGACCAAACCATAAAACAACTGAAAAGTTTGAGCATCTTGATTTCTAATCCGTAAAGGGATTTATAAGAGGTATTTCTTCAGAACATAAGCTATATACTTAAGATTACAAACTTGGTTTAGTTATATGTTAACAATGGTGATAATTCTTCTCCAAAAATTGGAAAATGAGAAAAGGTCAGTGGAAATTACATCCATTAAATTGGAAAATGAGAAAAGGTCAGTGGAAATTACATCCATTAAGGGCCTGTTTGGCGGGAATGGATTTATTCGTTATGCTGTCCTCCTACATAGCTTACCAAGCATGCGTGTATCAAACAAAGTCAAAGAGTGTACACCATGATTCCTCATCAAATTCAAGATTCACACAAGCAAAATGCACCAAGATCATTTCTAAGACATAATGTCCGTATGCAATAACAAACACAAACTTTTTCTTCTTTAATTATATCTGTTATTGTCTAGTCGAGCATCAAAAATACGTTTAAGTACATAAAATCCCACCAAGACTAACCTTGTTCATTTGGTTCGGAGAGGCCAGGAATCCTCCCAGCTAAAGGACCTTGTTTCACCACTGCCAATACTTCTCCCGGAAACCCGAAAACTACCGATGAAAGTAAAGACACCCCAGTAACCATAGCAGCCCTCCTATTTAGTAGTCCTAATTGTCCCTCACTTTCTTCATTAACACACAATTTTTTCCTTGAGGCCAATCCTTTTCTCGGTGCAGATTGAACCATCTGCTGATTGCTCTTCCAAGAAAGACAACAAACTGTGTGCCCAATTGTATCCATTCTCTCTCAACCAGTAAGTATGGTAGAGAGAGATGAGGGAGGATTCAGTTTATCAATTTTCTGAAGACTCAATAAATGGCAAAAATAGTTCCTTCTTAGGTCTATCCCGTGAGGCCTAGTCTGTTTTATCACTTCATATTTGGCCAAGGATAAGTGAATGCTGTGGAAGGTTGGTGAAATGCGTGGGCCACCTTGTGTAAAACATTTCTTCATCAAATTGTGGATTACTGTGTGCCACGTGTCACTTGTTCATTGATTTTTGAATGTAAAATGAAAATTATATAATATTTTTAAAAATAACTACATTTTTAAAATACACCCCAGGTCCACTGCATCTACAACTAGACTCTGCACAACTCGTCCCTCATAGAATGACCGAATTGGTGAAGTAGATGAGTGTGAAGACCTTTGATCACGAGTTCGATTTCTTCTGCCAACACTTTCTCGATCAAATCTGTCGTAAAGAGTTTGCCTAGTTCGATTTACCTGGCTAATGTGATTTGTAGGCTGTTGCGTCAGCCCGACGTTTATACAGTGTATATCAGAAGGGTAGCGACTGCAAGTTCCCCCGTTATTTAAAAAAAAAAAAAAAAACAACTCGACACAACTCGACCGTAGAGGCCAGTTGATCAACAACAAGGACTATGACAAGACAACCCATGTCCAGCCGGGATAAGCCTCCAAATGCACGATGATACCTTTGCAAGGGACTGAGGAACAGGTATGATAATGAAGAATGGTTTCATCTTTTTATTTGGAATTTAGGAGATTCTGGAAAAAATGACATTTGTGAGTCACACATTCATCCTGGGATTTAAAAGCATCAGAATCATCATGTATATCTATTGCTTACCAAACAGGAAAAATTGTCAAAACAGTGTTGTTATCTCATCCAGACCGCTAAATCCAAAGAAAAGTTCGATGAAGCATATGAGCAGAAATAAAAATAAAAATAAAAAATACTTCTCTAATTGCCTTGAGAAATTAAACATCCTTGTCTCTATACAGCATCATGCTACAAAAGCATGTCGTACTATATCTATGATTAATACATTTGAAGAAAAAATGATGGAAAATGTAAAATATATTTGTAAAACATGTAAAGAAGAGTACAGACAAACCAAAAGGTCCCCTCCAGACAATATTTAAGGCAATGGCATGGGTGGTTTCCATTTGCTGAATTCTACCAAATTTCTGTTAACTATAGATCCATTATGCAGCCAGAATGTCTCTGTTGACTGATGGAATTGCCTCACTTTCTTCTGAAGTTCCCACATAATTCCAGTGAATGCAGAGCATGACTCAGATTCAGGAGCATAAATCCATAAGCACCTTATCTTTCTACCCTGAGCTATCATGTCCTCTATGTCTTTATCTGCGCAAAATCCAAAACTTTTTGACACAAATTAATGGATTACATTGAGCAAGAAAGATGCAAAAATAAAGTCTACAGCCCGACCTGGAATTGATTCCAAGTAATCCAAAAGTTCGGGTCCTATCTGAGTGGATGGCCATTTGATTGATACATGAGTGTAGTCTACTACATTCTGAAAAGGTAATTCTACTTGATCTGATAAGATAACTGGAACACACTCCTGTTCAGCACGAGCAAACAGCAGCAAGGAGCTCAAGAAAGAGTCGTTATTGTGGGTGTGTATAAGACGAGATGTGTAAAGTGGAAGATACGGACCACAAAGAATGACTCGTAAAAGCGAAGGGTCCATGAGGATTCCCCACGTGGAGCCAGGCAGAATTTTGCATTTTGGAGGTGTTTAAAGTAACCCACCCTTCCAAGTTTGTCCGGGCCACTGAACTTCAACTCTGGGGATTCCAGCTGTTCAAATAATCAACATGCACTTCTTTTTGGGGGATTCAGTACATAGATCATATATTTAAAATAGTTAAAATTACTAGAAGCGTGTTTGGCTGAGCTTATAAGGTACTTAAAAGTACCATTTGGGAAAGTATGCCTAAAATTTCTAGCAAACAAATAATCCAATTATCAATTCATACAAGGTGGCCTCAATGACATTTGGCCAATAGGTGACACTAATATTAAGCCCCTGTTTGAGCCCCATTATTTGGTAAAAATAGATTTTGGAATAGTGAATTTTTGGAGAATATCTGGTTGAAAAGAAGGAAAAAGTTTAAGGTTTGCATATAATATCATTTTATTAGGAGAATGTGGGTGAAAATGAGTTTGGAGAAAAATGGGGCTCAAATAAGGGCAGTAATATGTAGCATAACCAATAAAGTTGACCAATTTCTACAATCCAATCTGCCTAGGAAGCATTGGAGTCACCATTGCAAAGACCTGACCGTCGCCTTAACATTTACATGCTTAAAGCTATATTATAAATAATCAACTTAACCCACTCTAGCTTCACCCCAACACCATCCAGATTAAATACGACGCAATCCAAGAAAGACGTATATTAAAATGTATTTTTTCACTTTCTTGAAATGTCCCTACACCTTGACCTCGAACACATTTTTAGCATTAGTCGAACTTGACTGATATAAATATATCTAATTTATCTATTAATTATTTCAGATTTCCACCAATTCTGAGGGTTCTGCTCATATAATGGGAACCTGCATTCTCCAAAAGCCTGGAATCCTTGATATTTTGAAAAGTCGTGCTTTCTTTTGACATTTGTAGCTACATGATAAAGTTGCTAACTAAATCCAGGAGTGACAAGAAAATGAGTTTCTCTTTTTCAATTTTCAATAAAAATTTGGACAGTGAGTTCTGAGGGTTTCAGCTAACGTAATGGGAACTTGCATTCTCCAAAAGCCTGAATCCTTAAAAAGTCATGCTTTCATTGCTTCGCAAGCTCTATCAATCGCAAACGGCCGACTTTTCCTTGGGCTCGACCTAAAAAGTTTGCCAAATACTTCCTTTTTGATAAAGGCAAAGGGTCGACCAGCCTAGCCCCATTAGCCGTCATCCCATCATCAACATTTCCAGGTATGATGATGTCTTTCCATGTATTGAAGGCACTAGTGCCTCGTTTATCTGTGCGATCTCCCTGCGTTCACAATTATAAACATTCTTCTGACAATTGATCTTGAGAAGATCTTTTAAATTGGCTAAAATTGAAACTCTCAGCTTCACTCCGTTGCCTTCTAAAATATTCCAAGTCTTGAGGCAAACTGCCACTTATTAAAATGACTTTATTATTTAGATGGCTGAACCAAAAGGCAGGTTCTGGCATCACCATGGTAACACAAGGAATACGTTGTAACAAGATCACACCTCGGGAGTCAGAATTATGGAACGGTTCAAATATGTTGCCCAAGACTTAAACAAGTGAGCTCCAGCACCACTGCAATTTAGCGAAAAGCACCCATCACAAATGAAAAAAATCCAATAGATTCAATATATGCTGGAACCTACTGGATAAATCAGCTTTCCAGCAGGTAGATATACACTCGATTTTAATAGATTCAAAGAAATTAGAAACTAAGTAGAAAATTTGTATGAGCAATTCACTTGCTTTCTTCTTCTTCCTTTGAGTGCGTGTTCTTCTTATGCTTTAAAAGGGGAAGCATTTTTTTATCTCATGACAATGTGATTAAAATAAATGACAATAATTAATGGTTCGGAGAACTTTGTTCAAGAACAAAAACTCAAATTTATTCATAAGACTGCAAATTCTAAGTGCTATAGAAGAAAAACAGTCATCATTATGATCAATCTAGAATATATAATTAACTAATATATATGTTCCTAGATTATATTTCCCTATAAAAGCAAGTTCATCACGTAAGTTGGCAATACAAATACTCACAAATACCAAAACTAAAACGTCATACCTTGGGAAGACAAAAATGTGGTCGCGCCCACCAGATAATCTGAAATATCGCATTTGACCTAAAACCTGAAACAAAATAGTGTCGGTGTGGATTACAATGGAGAGTCCTCATTGTTTGTCTCAAGTTGCCAGCCTTAGAATCAGAAGTCTCAGTACCTTGACGTAAGTTTGGTTGATCTCTTTATCGTTCAGGCCACCCATCATTCGCACACATTTAACATAAGTTGGTACAAAGAACAGATCTGCCTCTTCTTTCTTTCTTGTCCGAAACCTCGACTGCAAAAGCAACCTGTGTATTTTAACCTACAGGACATGATGAACTTATATTAAAATCACACATATTAAGCAAGTTGTTCCACAAAAAGGGAAAAACAAAATGTCAATTTTGTTTGCCATAACTCTCACTCATGCCCTCTTAATCTTCCCGATGGTGACGTTTCAAGGAACAAAGCTTCTATTTTCTTTTAATGAATAACCATAGGAAAGAACCACATTTCCTAAGTATTTGGGAAAATGACAAAGGGATGCAGGTCATTTATAAGATCGCTCATACTAGACTTATTATCTTGCTTGAATCTGGAATTATCAAATTACTTTCATTATCATGAAGGGGGCATAACTTCTTCATTGCATTAAAAAAAAATCCTACCTAAACTCAATACACTTCTGGCTCGCAAATCACAAAGAACCTACAATACTACCTACTTATTGATGTGTTGTTAACATGAGTACCATTTATTCCTTTTTTCAAAGACAAACTAGTGCTCATTAGGCAATCTATCTCCTACTAGATTCTCAGCAAGGCATCAATTCATTTCCTTAAAATTTCTACTCGAGTGTGCACTGCCACATTCCCGTATCCAAAAAGAAAATAAAACTAATTCGGTTATCCAAGAAAAAGTCTCCTCCGACTTAATATTTCGCATCTGATATATCCAGATTCTGAGAGAATATGATTCCGTATCCCCAGAATTCGAAACAAAATTTATCAACTGGTCCAATTCAAGAAAGGACATATATGTCTAGTGGTTTCTCAACAATGACGATTCTTCCAAAATGCATACAAAGTCCAAGTTTACTGAGAACGATAGTTTGCTCAGTAGTTGTAGTAGTAATTTCAACCTTACTGAAGTCAATTAAGCACTTCATTATTGAGTAAATATACGCTCTCAGTTACCAAAAATAGAAAGCATACATTATCAGATAAAAATACCTGAGTGCCCCACTGGCCTTTGATGCAAGCCTCGGGAGAAATCTTCCCTTCACGGCCATATAACAGCAGCTTGAGTCCCTCAATTTCGTTTTCGTCATA